GACAGTTGCTGTGCAGTGGAAGTTCTGTGTCACCACTCCATGGGCAGCTGGCGAGGTTTTCGGATCCTCCCTCCCTGCACGTTTCCCATGCTGGCCAGTGTGTCCTGTGGCCCAGTAGCAGTGCTCCTTAATAGCAGACCTTTGGGTGATAGATGAATAAAATGTGTTAACTGCATTTGCTGTTACTGTATTTGCTGTCCCTTGACTGAAGTGTTTAATGTAGGGTTGTGCGAGAAGCGCTTGAGGCAGAAGGCAGAACACTGGACAGCGCAGAGCAGAGCTCACTAGGAGTGTTTGCATAGTCACTCTTGGCTTGCTTTTCCTTTTTTTTTGTGCAGGTCTCGAACTCAGAATCGGACTTGTAGTGATCCTCCTGTTTTCAGCCTCCCTAGTCCTGGGATTATAGGCATGTGCTACCGCGCCTGGACTCCATTGCTGCCTCAGCATGCCCAGGGGGTAGGGCCGGCACGCCACATGGTACCAGGGATCGAACCCTGGCCCCTGTGCTTGCCTAAGCAAGCTCTTAGTCTGCTGAGCTATTTGGCTTGCTTTTCTTTTTCTTTTCTTCCTTTTTATCAGTCAGGAGCCATACTGTGCCTAGAGTTGGAAAGTCTGATTCTAACCCTTGCCATGCAGGTGACCTTGGCATGTTTCAGCGTCCTCAGCTGTAACAGGAGCGCTTGGATGGCTCTTTGCCCATTAGTGCTTATTTTGCTATGCTCCCCAGCTGTCCCTTGCCTTGTCTGGTTTTAGCTGTCCACATACATTGATCCTCCTTTATTCTTTTTCAGGTGGTGGGTATTGACATCAGCTCCTTGAAAGTGTCCCTGTGGTAGGAGGGTGGGTGGTAATCTGGTATCAAGAACAAATACACGAAGGGCCAGCCAAATAGCTCATAGGATTAAAGTGCCTGCAAGCAGGGGCTGGGGGTTTAATCCTCAGGCCTCCTGTGCTGGCCCTGCCCCTGGGGCGAGGTGAGGTGGAGGTTGTGATTGGGCATGGTGGCGTGCGCTTGTAACGCCAGCACTTGGGAGGCTGTAAACAGGCAGATCACTACGAGTTCTATCTAGTAATGAGACCCTGAACACCCTGTAGACCCTTCCCTAAAATACAAAAGAAAAAAAAAAGAACAAATACATAGGTTAAGTTGTGTCCCCATCACAGTGGTTGTATGTGGTCATGGCAGCTTAGAATTTGCTGTCCTGTCGTGTTGCCCATTTTATAGACGATTCCTTGTGGTCTTTCAGCTTTCTCATTTTGTGATTCTGTGTCATTTTTGTGGTATCAATATAAAATGTCATAAATTGTCTCTACTCTCCCATCCCCAAACTCTATAAAGCTGTATAGTAGGGGTGTTGACATACACATCCTAGGTATGTTTATTGATACATTGCTTTTTATATTAATATGTTGCTTTTTTCCTCCCCTCTTGCCTGTAGTGTTCTAAGAACTGACGCATCTAAGCTGGATGGAATTTAACATCAAAAAAAGTTCTCTTTCTGTGCATAAAGTTGTAAAGTGCATAAAGATGAAGCAGGCACCAGAAATCCTTGGCAATACAAATGGAAAGACTCAGAACTGTGAAGTGAATCGCGACTGCTCTGTGTTCCTCAGCAAAGCTCAGCTTTCTAACAGCCTACAGGAGGGGGTCATGCAGAAGTTTAATGGCCACGATGCACTTCCCTTTATTCCAGCGGAGAAGCTGAAAGATCTTACTTCCTGTGTGTTCAATGGTGAACCTGGGGCTCCTGATGCCAGATTGTGTTTTGAGTCCCAGGAAGCAAAAGGAATTGGGACACCACCCAATACTACTCCTATCAAAAATGGTTCTCCGGAAATCAAGCTGAAGATCACCAAAACATACATGAATGGGAAACCTCTCTTTGAGTCTTCTATCTGTGGTGACAGTGCTGCTGACATGTCTCAATCAGAGGAAGATGGACAGAAGTTGGAGAGCAAGGTGAGGAGGAGCAGGAAGAGGAGCATAAAGTACGACTCCTTCCTAGAGCAGGGCCTCGTGGAAGCAGCTCTGGTGTCCAAGATCTCAAGTCCTGCAGATAAAAAGGTGTGTGTGAGGGATTCTGTTATATCCTGACGGCATGGTGGCAGTAGGACCATGTGGGACGCTTCTCTGTCTCATGGCAACTAGAGGCTATGGGAGACAGGTATTGCTGGCAGCCTTGGCCCTGCAGGGCTGCTGCTGGTTGAGCCTTGGCTGTGGGCACTTGGGTCTATAGCTGCCTGCCAGCCAGTTGAGAAGCCAGAGCTTAAGTGTTGGGGATGAGGCAGGGCCAGTTTTTTGTGTTTCTTTTTTTCTTTTTCTTTTTTGGGACAGGGTCTCACTGTGCAGTTCAGGCTGGCATTGAGCCCACTTTGTAACCCAGGCTGGTCTGGTCTCAAACTTGCAACAGCCATCCTGCCTTAGCCTCCCAAGTCCTGGGCAACCTGGATGTTTGTTGGCCTTGAGTTCAGCTTCAATGATCCTCCTGCCTCAGCCTCCTGAGGGCACCCCAAATGGGTATGAGTTGGTACTACAGTAAGTTTTTTTTTTTTTTTTTTTTAATTTTTATTTATTTTAGAGAGAGAGAGAGAGAGAGAGAGAGAGAGAGGTAAGTGTGTGTGTGGCCAGCTCAGCCCACCAGGGGGCGGGGCTGGCTGGCATGTGGTGCTGGGGGATTGAACCGCGGTCCCTGATGCCTTGCCAAGCTTGTTCTAAGTAGGTGCTTTAGACCACTGAGCCATCTCTCCAGCCCGGTACTACAGTAAGTTTGGAACATTGAGTTTACAGTTACACTTGTAGGATTTTGTTTAGGAATTTCACACATAGGGCTGGGGAGATGGCTCAGTAGAATAAGCACTTGCTTGGCAAGCACAGGGGGCTGAGTTCAATCCCCGGTTCTGCCAAAAAAAAAAAAAAAAAAGGGAATTTCACACACAGGAGGAATCGTTGATACTTCTTTGGAATCCTTAAAGTTGCCAAGAGTGAGAGGGCTTAAAAACAGTGGTTTTTGAGTGCTCAGGAGCAACTTTGGCCCTCATACTGTAATTTCAAAGTTTTTTTTTTTTTTTTTTTAAACCCATTTAGGGACTGGCCAAATAGCTCAGTGGATTAAAGTGCCTGCTTAGGCAGACACAGGGACCAGGGATGAATCCCTAGCATGCTGTGCTGGCACCGCCCCCAGGGCGTGTCAAGATGGCAAATAAGACTGGGGGTGGTGGTGTGCGCCTGTAATCCCAGAGCTTGGGAGGCTGAAGACTGGAAGATCACTGTGAGTCCGATCTGTGCAGTGAGACCCTGTAGACCCTGCACTAATACATAAAAATAAAAACAAAAACCCACTTAGTAGCCTGGGCTGATGGGGTCGGGTTTGGAAGAGCCCATGGTTGTGGTGAGCCTTGTGTTTTACAGTAAAGTTGCTAGGGACCTGGTTTTTAGCCTCTACTCTGCCACTTCTTGGTCTTGTTAAGACTCGGTGATTCAACCTGAATGGTGGGGTGCACCTGGGATGCTGTGTGATCATCCCGCGCTGACCTCTTTTGAAAACGTGTAACATGGTGACTGCGCTTGCCCTTGCCTCTCTGCTCGTGTATCTCTAACAGTTGGTGAGATTCTGATTTCAGGGTGTCACCCTCGGTGCACAGAGGAGGAAACTGAGGCCCAGAGGAGTTGAGGTGCTGCTTTTAGGGGCTTACCTGCAGGAGGCTGTGGCCTTGCTGTTGCGCTCCGTCTTCTAGAGAGCGGAACAGAGTAGTATGGGGAGAAACTGAGGCTTAGAGAGCTCTGAGTGCTTGAATGTAGGGTTGGGGCTACCACCTGTCTTAGCAGGGGCTGCACTATCGAGTAAAGCATACGCTCTTGAAGATTGACAGACATGTGGCTGGAGGCAGGGCTAGCATGGCTTTGGGGTTCTGGGATTAAAGTACCATGCAAAGACTGTGCTCCAGGCAAAAGAGTTTACTAGAAGTCTTGCTAATGCAGGGCTCCTCCTTGCCAGGCCTGGTGCAGACCCGTTAGGTCAGGGCAAGAGATGCAGCAGCTGCCATGAGAGATGAGAGCTGGGATCTGAAGCTCAGCGAGGGGAGAGCTCCTTTGTTGGGGCCTGTGTTACTGTGGCTTATTTTTTGGAGAGTATTGGGGATGGACACAGGCTTTGTGCATGCCAGGAAGTGCTGCCCCCTGAGCCACACCCCTAGACCTCCTTGTGTGTTTGGACCAATAGCCTGATTAATCTTTGTTGTTCCGTTTCAGATTCCAGTTAAGAAAGAGTCCTGCCCACACACTGGCAGAGACAAAGATCATCTGCTGAAATACAATGTGGGTGACTTGGTTTGGTCCAAAGTGTCGGGCTACCCTTGGTGGCCTTGTATGGTTTCTGCCGACCCACTCCTTCACAGCTACACCAAACTCAAAGGTATTGGGATTTTGGCTGTTTTTCTTTCTCTTTTGCATGTAGTGTTTCTCATCTCCATACTTCTTGCTTATGCTTTTCTTTTTTTTTTTTCTTTTTGTGGAACCAGGGATTGAACTCAGCCCTTATACTTATTAGGCAAGTGTTTATTCCACTGAGCTATCTCCCTGGCCCCTTGCTTATGCTTCTTAAATGTCTCTATAATAATGCACTTTTGTAACTTCCTGAGGTCAGTGGTTGATTCAGATGTCAGCTATTGCCATTTCTTTTTTAGGGTTAGGAAGGGTTGAGATGGGATCTTTCGCTGTGCAGTCTAGGCTGGCCTTGAGCTCACTATGTAGCCCAGGCTGGCCTCAAACTTAAAAAGTGATCCTCTTGCCTCAGCTTCTTGAGTGTTGGGATTATAGGCATGCAACACCATACCTGGCTGACTCGGCCCGCGAGTCGAGACGTGGGGTAATGACCTGGAGGAGGGATGGGGATGAACAAGACAGGGCAAGAGACACAAGAGACGGAGACAAGACAGGCTTTCTGATCAAGTCTCGTTTATTGAGGAAGTGAACAGGGTCTAAATAGCTGTATAGTGGAAGC